CACTCTATAAGATCTGGTAACCTAACAGGTCATCTATAGTAGCCTCACTAAAGTATTACTAAGTTATCACTAAGTCACCTTCACTAAGTTATTAGGTCCTCACTTTTTGCACACTTTGAAAGAATCAAAAATTCATGAAGTATTTATTGAATAATAAAATTTTTACTCAGTTTGAGAAGAACGAAATATATTGAAATTAAAATTTTCAAGAGGTTATTTCTGAAAAAACGGATTGTAGAATGGTTGAAGCTGTAAATGATTTAAATATCTAAGGCTCACAGCTAGACTTCTCTCAACAATTTTATACCTTTTGGCGCACGTCTGATTAAAATTTAAGAGTTTCATTACTCAAAAATACTCAATTCTTTTAATAAATACAATTATTTAACATTTCATAAAACTACTTAAATATTGTCATAAAAGTTACTTATTTTGCATTTTACTGTTGATTATCGTAACATAACATACTTATCAGGATAGTATATGTATGTGTGCAAATATGAAATAGTGTATCTATCAAGTTCAATGTTCCTTCTTACCTTCTTTGGGAACATACAAGGACCTGACTCGGAACAGAGAGCTTACTAAAGCTATGTTCACTAATTGTGGTAAGTAGACAAGATACAGACGAAGGGTATACAAAACCCTTTATTTTTCTCTATTTACAATAATTCCGTACTTCGGAATACACTGAACCCGCTACTTGGGGTCTAACGTAAAATATAAAAATAAAACTAAACTCTAATTTAACTTTAGAATAATAAACGTGGAAGATTGGCCTTATAATAACAGGAAGCGTACGTAGTACAGAGACTGTGAAACACTACAATACGTTTTAAATTTATCAAGAGGATTAAAACCTCTGGCCTGGAAGGCAAAAGCAAACTGCGTAACTTCTAAGGTAAGCGGCCTGCTTGACTCACTGCTTCCTCTCTCTCGCTTGGCAAAAAGCCACAACTTAAGTACTTGGCGTTCGCCAGACAAACTTTGCATAAAAACCTTAACGCTTATAATTCTGGCCGGAAGTAGAAAATAAGAAGTGATAGTAAAGATTTAAAATAAAATAAACGTTAGTAAAACTTAAGATCCTTACATATCTACCAATATTTTAGTATGTGTGTTCACACCAACAGCACAGTGACCATCTATAAATGGACTTTAAACCGCAGAAGGAACAGTTCTGTTTAAATTGCTTTTTTATTGTATTTAGAGTGTAATGATCACTTTTAAGAGATGTGCTAGGTTTGTTGTATAACTGTCCAATCAATATTTCTACTTCTCAATGAAGAAGACAATCTATGATTTCACCAGGTGAGTGGTAGGATACTTTTTCAAGAATGCAAATATTTAGCTTACATGATAAAGCAACGTTTACCCCATTTGCCCATATCAAACTCATAATTGGATTTTTTACTATGTAACTGAGATTTTGTTGAAACATACGTCTCTATGTACTGATTGATCTGATTTCAGAAGGCTTTATTCTTAAAGCCATTTGATGTATTGAAAGTATCATTTGATATATCGAAAGTAATATATTTAAAGATATGTATGCCGTTAAGACAAGAACATTAAGTGAAAGAACACTTCCTTTTCTATAAATCTTCTAGTGACCTCTTTTAATCACATAAACAACTTCAAGATATTTGTTAAATCTTCGCACATTTGCTTCATTAGTGTTATTTATTACCGTTTCTACATTGGTAATTATGAAGTTTATAAAATCAGTTAGGCTTGTGAGCATAACAAGCTGAAATTCAAAATAATGAATGAATCTTTAAAAACAATCCACACTCTATAAGATCTGGTAACCTAACAGGTCATCTATAGTAGCCACATACGATAATCGTACCATCATCCTGTTTTTATATTTGACACCCTAATCACGGGAATATAGTAACTTATTTTGAGTGATGAGAAATATTCAGTAATTAATTTGAACCCAAGTCCTTCAGATTTAACATATCAAAAGACATTGTATTTCGACAGTAAATATATTATCAAATATTACCGAAGCACATTTCTGAAATGCATACGGCTGCTAAAACGATGGAACTACTCAAAGGAAATATGAGAACGATACCCAAGTACCTCCTTTGAAAACTGTCCTTCTCGGGCCCATAGATAAAATGCAAGCCCGCGAGTCCTACTTTCGTGTTCCAACGCATACCGCTGGAAGTCGTCACAAAAATGGTGATTTACGCCAGCAGAATGTGTTCATCTACTGCTTAACAGCTCCTTGTAACAACTCAACGCGCCATTTTTTCACGCGCATTCTATAAACAAATCTCCCTGTTTTATTCCCCTCTATTTGCTCTTTACGGATTTTTCTTAAAAATGAAAACAACTAAGCTCATTTTTTGACAAAAGTGTTCTAATTTTTCAGAAGAGAAATAATAAACAACGATTTTCACATTCTGTGGGTAAGGGAAATGCATGCCCTCATGCAGAGTTTCTTACCTTTCTTGGTCTGGGGAACCCCCTAATATTTACGAAAATTATGTGGGACCCACATAAGCGTTGCGCAAATCCGACACACGCGTGAGTGAAACTGTCAGTTTCTTCACTTGTAATGCAGTTTTAGGTCATCAACATTAATTTTTAAAGTAAAATGAACGTTTCTATTATAAAAGTATCCGTCGAAACGTTTTCGTTTTTTCTCTGTATTTTCTTATCATTATCTATTTTCAGATACATTATGTAAAAATATTTGATGATTGTAAAATTATTATAACTTAAAAAAATATCAAAATTTCTAAAATTTTTGGCGACCCCCTAATGCAGATCCCGAGACCCAAATGGAGTCGTGACCCACAGTTTAAGAAACTTTGCCCTCATGTAATAGTCGCATTATACATATTATTTTTTATGTAAATTAATTGAATTAGTAGGCTTTGTTTGCAAATAAAATGACATTATGTAAAATACGCTATACATTTTCTTTTACCTTACTTTAATTATGTTAAACAGCCTACACAACACTAAAGACATCAGATCCAGCTCAATGCATCAGATTTACATTGACGGAGCATTTTGCTAAGGTAGATAGAGCTCACATTCTGCGTCAACATTTTAATCGTATTCTAACACTAAACATTTTCTTTTTTAAAATTTTGTTATATTAACCTATTTTCTTAATTAATAGATACGGAATTGCAAAAATAATATCTCATGTGAAACATTTTAAATAAACCTGTATATACCAGGCTATATAAATTGCTTTATTAGCAATCTGAGGGGGTTCCAAAAGAATAAACTATACTTTTCTCTTATTATGAGACTGCATAGAGTATTAACAACAGGTTACTTTCTATGCGAACTAAAATAACATTTTTTGCAGCCTTTCTGTTCTGATGACAGCTCTAATGGGCCTTCTCGTCTCTTTTGATAACTTGGATGAAGTATATTTTGTGGGGCGACCGAAGACAGACTTCGAATTTCGACAAGTAAAATTTGTTAATAAATATTTATTCATCTTATGGAAGTTAAAAATTGCGTATAGTGCGAATGCAAACTTGTTCCTTTTGTCATTATTTATTTAAATTTCTGATAATCCGCGTTTTTAATAAATTTTATTTTTAAGCCGTGTAACTTCTATGATGCGGAATAACCTTACCATCTAATTTGAACGCTTGGTGAACCATCCTGTTACTTTCTAACTATTGATATACTATGCAATCAAACCAAAAACCTTATTAATTACTCCTGAGAGGGTCAAAAAAGTGATTATGCCAACTATATTTAGAGTTTTTATGCAAAATTTACGAATGTAGGAGATTTACCTTAGTGTTAAAACTTCAATTATTTGCAGTAATAACCTATATCTCAATTTTATAAAAAAAAACTTAAACAATTACTATGCCTTATTTGCTTTCTAACTCACTGCAATTGCTTCACAATTACAGCAGATGATTTATCCAGTAAGACGTCAGTATTATTGTTGCAAGCTCCAATAAGGGTTACGGTTAAGATCAATATCATATTTTAAAATCAAACCTTTACTTTTAATACGTAACAATTTGTTTCGACTTTGAAGTGCAGTAAAAATGTAGCATTATCGGATATATAATATATCAAAATTGGAATGTAGACGGTTGGCATCAGAGATTTGTTATACTCTCCAGTCTGAGATATATCATTATGTGCAGGCTCGGCGGCCTGATCCAAGGCATGCCAGGAAATAAATACTAAAATGGGCATCTGCTTGGAAGCATTATACTGTGGAATACAGAAGACAATGGTAATGGATTTGTATGCATCAAAGTACGCAACAACATGTTCTCATCATCCTGGCGTGACTTCTTGTTGGACGGAAGGAACAGGTTAGATGAAAAAGAAGTTTTTCCAATCATGGGACTCAAAACCTGGTTCAAAATCTTCTAGCCTCAAACTAATTCCAAATTGGAGGACCTTTTCAACGTACCAAACAACGCTCAATTCCCTCGGTCCGATCTCAAATAGGAGTTCATAATACTATACACTAGGGCCAGTGCCTTCTGAATATGCACGTCAACTCTCACACCTGTCCGTAAATTATCAGATATTCATCGGATATATGAGAAGGTAGTAGTTGGGATTTCGAGGTATCACATTAGCTTCTCTATGACTAGATACCTTAAGGGAGCGCTTATAGTAAGAAATTCAGTGCAGTCAAGCAAATAAAAGAAGTGATGAATCACTGACTCGATAATCAGAAAAAAAAGTGTTTTTTGAGGAAGCTTGTACAAGAATGGGTCTCTGACATACCTGCGTTAAATGCGATGTGATCATGCTAAAGGAAAAATGAAGTATTTTTTAGGCTTTGCTATGCGTATTGAATGAATGCAACGAAACTAATATCGCTTTTGAATCTTCTTCGTTGTGTGCATATGTAAAACCTTTATATAATTTTCCCAAGCGTTCGCAAGTATTATGTAGTGATTTTTTTTTCTGACCAAATTGCTTTTTATTTTTTTTATTTTTCCATGTATTTGCAAACTGCAAATGAATAGTGCAATTAATTTTGGTGAAAACTAATCATTGTAACATTTTAAAAATATTTTTCTCCTTATTCTTTGAGATTCTTATGAATGAAATGTGTTATCTAGACGATTATATTTTCTTCTCGTGCCTGTGAATTACAAAATTCTTAAAAACATCAATTTTCCAAATTTTTAGCCAAAATATTATGTTTTTCATATTTAAAACATTGTTAAATTAGAAAATAAGTCACCCCCCCCTTTGTACATTTTTGATAGCGTTGTTAAATAGGACTGTGCGGGATGGCCGATTGTTTCAACCATGATTCACAGAAAAAATGTAATTGTTTGTTTATATATGACTTTTAAAAACAATTGATGCTTTAAATGCGATTTCATCATCTCGTTGCATTAATATAAATCTAATAATTCAGAAGATAAATAAATAAACAAACATTCTGAAATCGTGTTTGTTGCTACCCGTAAACAGATCTTGTTTCTGCAATTCTGGAACACATATGGAATTAAATGAGAAACCTGTACACAAGTTATATTTATAGATGAGCTTAACATATTCAACATAATTATATGTAATGAAATTCTGAAATTTGTTTCGTGAATAGAACATGTCATTTGGCTGTCATAATAAACATATAATCAAACCTAAAAATTAGTTAAAATGTTTGAATTTTAGAATTCATCTATTTATTGCTTCGTGTTTTAATTTATCTTTTGCAGCTTACAGCGACGACAGTACTTCTGGCCCTCTGCACTTTTGTCATTACTGCTTATCTTATTCTTTATTTCAAGAGAAGTGCCCTAACAACTTCAATGACAGCAAACAGTGAGTATGCATTATTTTCTGCAAATATTGAAATGTTGTTTTGAATCCGTCTCTTACTGTTTCTTTCGTTAAGGAAAAGTTTAAGTTTTCAATAATGCATTTAAAGACAAGATTTTTTATCAAATACTAAATTTTTAAGCGAGACTTTCTTCGTAAAAGTACAGATGCTGATTATTTTTATAAAATGGCCATTAAAATAATCATTTTATAAAATAAATGATTTTATAAAATGATTATTTTTATAAATAAAGTTTTTTTTAAAATAATCTTCCATTATAGTCTATGTTTTATATCTTATCTTGAGGGGGAAAAAGATTACAATGGAAATACTTCTTATTTCCCTAAAATATGGATTTTTTTAATTAAGGAAATGTACTTGAAATTGGTTCAGTTTTTAACTCTGAAAGCCTGAATCACTGAATTACTGAATCAGTAAATTGTTTTATAGCTAATTTTGTAGAGACATTAAGTACAGTTTTGAAACCAGGAGACATGAAAAATGTGCAATGCTCTCACCGGGACTCGAAACACAGACCTCTCGAATACGAGTCGAGCGTGTTGACCACTACACCACAAAGTCATGCTAAGAAGGTGGAAGAAATACCTCATATACACCCCCTTTTAAAGAGTAAGTGGGGATTAGGGGACCCTATCGCCAAATCCTGGTGGTGAAGAGTCATCATCCACCACCTTTTCTTAGTTCGGGCGCCACTGTAGATACATTTAGAAGTTTCTGAAAGCAGAAAAAAATGAAAAATAAGCAACGCCTTCGTCGGGACTCGAATCACGGACCTCTCGAATACGCGCCGAGTGTGCTGACCACTACACCACGAAGTGAATGCTGAGAAGGTGTAAGAAATACCTTACAATTTTATATCGTAGAACTGTCCTTCTTATTCAACATTTTTGTTTTAATTTTCTGCTTAACTGCCAGCGCTAGCAGCAAATAAGAGACATTTCAAAACATTTTGTCAAATACCTTCTGTGTTATAAGACCTTATGCAGCTTAAAGCATGAAAAACACAAACTATAGTTAATTATACTTTAAGTTTTCAATTTAACATTAATTTAAATTCAGAGGTAATCATAAAAACATTTCTACCATATGCTTTAACTTTGATACCGATGTAAAATTTACACAGTAGATATATTAGTAAAACAAAAACATGTTGGATCAATATTTGATAATTAATATTCTCAAAGTCTGACTGGTTTTTCTTCTTAAACATGGCTTGGCAAGCAGATTCTGATACAGAAAACAATTTTGTACACTGTAATATTGTAAATTTCATTACCAGAATTTTTAGTAAAGCGCCTGGTATTAAAATGTGTTGTAACAAGTATCTCTGAATATTATCTGAGATTCAGAAGTTTTTTTGCTGAAAAATATTTTAACACTACATATTCTCCTCTGTCTCAGCATGCTCTGCTATGAAAAAATTGTCATCTTTATAATCATAAACATTTCTGCCTGCACTGGCGTTTTCGAGATTTTTGCCGTTTATAAAATGAGCCGATTTCTTTTAGAAAATCCTCCCCGAAGATATCTCTTCCTTTAGGCAGATAGCTCTCGTCTGCTTTGCTTGAATTAAATAAATCAGTCCTGAGAACTATTTAGGATGTTCTTTTGGCACCCACAGCCTTGCACTGTTTATGAAAAAGTGTTTTAAAATATGTCTCTGAACAATAATAAATTATAAGGTATTTTTCCCGCCTTCTTAGCGAGCCTTCGTAGTGGTCTGCACGCTCAGCGCCTAATTAAGAGGTCCGCGATTCGATTCCCGGCGAAGGCTTTGCAAATTTTTCATTTCTACTGCTTCCAAAAGATAACCTAATGTCTCTACAAAATAATAAATAGATACGGGCTATTTCAAATTATCTTTATAAGCAATTTGCAGATATAATACCAAATATGTGATTGCACATATAACAGATTTCAAAATACAACTCAGATTTCATTTTCAACTAAAATATTTATGGCTTAAAGTGTGATTAAAGTACTCATGCAAAAAACAAAGTTCACCAAACTTCATATTTCACAATTATTTTGCAGTTTTCAGCTGCAAGGCTTAAGAAAAATATGAATTTTCATTGTATTGAACGAATGATGAGGAGGAGTGTATATCAGTAGAGAAAAACAGGAACGAATGCATTTGCATGAATACAATGCAGAGAAACAAGAATTACCTGTTTTTATTTCTATCTAAAAGTTTTAAAACGTTATGACTGTCTAGTTGTATATTACTATAAATCTCTCTTTACAGCTCTTAAATACTTTTTATATTTTAACATGCAGCTTTGAATGGCATAAAATTTGGCCGTACCCGCACGATGCACGATAGTATTACCTTTCTCAGTCATTTTAAGCGTTAATTGCATAATGTAAATTATGAAAATTAGGAATAATAAGTTTTGAAATGAAGGTAGTGTCATACATTTATTCATAATAATGCCTTTTCTAAAGTTGTTAAGCAACGAGAATTTGTTTTAGTGCAGATGCTGAAGATAACTATTCTAGCAAAGAAGTATATGAAAACTCAGTTTTTTACCTGGAAAGTGAGGACGTAATATCTCAGGAAGCCATAAAGTAAGTACAAATTTAGTTCAATAGCAGAATTCTTTAAATAAAATGCAATTTATATTTCTTACATATTTATTTACAGAAAGTATTATAGTTACTTTTCAGAACAAGAATCTGTCAGTTAAAATAGAGAAATCCAAATCATTTCGGATCCATACATGAAAGTACGGATTCAAAATGCTCAAGTATCCAAAACAGTTTATTTTTCATGCATTTCAAGCAGTATGTATTGAATTACACGCGTTAAGGCTGAGTACCTTTATATGTTACTACAAAACCCTGAGATATGCTAATATTTATTGTAATTAGAGAATAAAACTCCCAAAATATACTTGCAGTTGTTCTCAATCAAAAATCAAGCTCTCATAAAGCTCGATTTTTATCGATCGATGATTTCATAAAGCTCGACCTGCATATAAAATTCTATACAATATATGCTATTTAATCTTAAATATGCCTCTTTAATCTTTAATTCCCGATTAATATATGTTTTTATATGCTCTTTAATGGGGAAAATTGAAGCTCCCTGTGAACATTTTCGATCTCAATAAAACTCAGAATACAAAAACCTCAAGAATGATGTCCGATAATTGTTAAAACATGAAAGATAGAGAGAAACAGCGTTAAAATGCATATTAAAGAATTATGGAAAAATGCATTTAATGGGAGAAATTCGAACACATTAAAAATTACAACAGCAAATTGCAATTATATAAACTCTTAAAAAATTGTAAAGATGTCACGATGCTAGGTTTAGGTGCATAGGAGCTGTCATGTATCTGGCAGCGGAGAGCCAATAAGGTGCCTACCAGAGCATTAACGATGTAGAAACGTACTTATATCAGTGAATTAAAAGAGGACATTTCGTTCCATCAAACTATTGCCAAGCAGGCGGATTGCAGAAAAGTGGCCAATATGTTGTTAATGATGGTGTCTGAACGTTAAGTTATTTGAAACAACAAAGCTGATGAGGGCTATCTATTTAGAGCAAGGGTACTCAACCACGGGGAAACCTCCCCAGGGGAAAATCATTGTTACAGACATTGTTATCAGCCTTTTATTTAGCTGTTAAGCAATTAGTTTTATTTTATGAATGTAAAAAAAAAACTACTGTTAATCAAATTTTGGTATTTAATCAATATTTTCCACACTTTTATAATTTAATTTATTTCACTTTGAAAAATAATTTAAATCTAGGTAAATATATATATTTATTATTCGAGTTTTAGAAAAGGGGGATGATCTTATTGCAATGGTTAAAGTGGACCCCCCCCCCCCCCCCCCCCCCCCCCCTCCCCCCCCCCCCCCCCCCCCCGCCCCCCCCCCCCCCCCCCCCCCCCATGGACCCCGCCCCCCCCCCACCCCCCCCCACCCCCCCCCCCCCCCCCCCCCCCCCCCCCCCCCCCCCCCCCCCCCCCCCCACCCCCCCCCCCCCCCCCCCCCCCCCCCCCCCCCCCCCCCAAAAATATTAACAACCCCTTGTCTAAGGCAAGAGTTTTTTTTTTTTTTTTACCTTCATTGGAGGACTTTCTAAGAGATGGTTTTTTTTTTTTTTTAAGAGATTGGTTTTTTTGCTCCTTCATGGAGGACTAAGAGATGGCTCACGTTATACATGAAGAAAACCATGAAGAAAACCAACCCTGTAAGCCAGCCCCGTGTGTTTGATTGCCAACCCGAGTCCAGCTCCCAGCATTCAACGGTCTTAATCACTCGGCCACTGGTTGGCCTCTGGTGTCTGGAAGAAGGCAAAATGCAGCAACAGTAGATGACCATACCAACTAAGAAATATTGTGATGCTTGTGAACATTCCCAGAGTAGCACTAATAATAGTTAATAAATAAATAATTTTAAATAATTATACTCATATTATACGGTTTGCAGATATGAGCATGTCCATCTGTATTATGTAGAGATGACTTATGAAAAGATGCTACCTTCTACAAGGTTATTTCAACTACATTGCCTTGAGCATTGTCATCATTATGTGCATCATTATGTATCTATCCTTATACACAAGGAATTGCAACGAACTTATTATTTTCTAGACGATGATGGGACATGTACTGGCTGTCAATAGTCCGTGATTACGAGGTCTAGATACAGACCATTACAATCCAAAAAATCATTTTTATTCTTTTATTTGTGGTCTCGTAATTTTGTGCCACGCATCTTCACGAGCTGCATTGACAAGTATCTGGATTCAGACTGAGATGGTTCTAAGCTGATGCGGTATATAGCGGTCATTATATCCAAGTTCTATAATAATTGACAGAAGCATTTCTCTTACCGATGGTGCTTTATGGGTTTACTGATGGACATGAGTTATTATAAACTGTAAAATTAACTGAAGAGATTTTCATCTGTTCTACATTAGATTCAAAAATTACTCAATGTGTTTTTTTTGTTGACCTTTGCATGTGAAAATAATAATAATAATAATCATAATAATAGTAACAATAATAGTAATAGTAGTAGTAATAATAGTAATAATAGTATATAATTGTAATAGTACTAGTAATATTATTAATAGTAATAATAGTAATAAATACTAAGTTAAGGGAAGTTTACTTAGTGCAATAAAATAAAACATTCCTGTTATGTGGCCTTGCAATACAGTAATTAGAAGTAAAAATTCCAGATATGATCTATTAATAGATCATCAGTTCCAATGTACAATCTATTTGTACATTGGAACTGATGATCATGAGCAAATGTACAATTTATTTTCCTATGGGATTTGACTAGCAAATTTTTTTTTCTCATAGACGACATTCTAATTAAAATGCTGCCCTGTAATTCGTTATCAGACTTGCAATGGCTAACTGGAGGTCAACTGCCCTCCCCCGCATCATCTTCCATGGTGGAGTTGAATGTAAGGAACTATAACATCACTCATTCGTTCTCTTATAAGTATTGCTGCCAACTGTATTATAAATCTCAACCTATTAGTTCTATAAATTGTCGGGACTCTTCCGACGATTAATAGGATCCGATTTGTAATATAGCTGACAGCAATATTATAAAAGAATGCATGAGTGATTTCCGACGATTAATAGGTTTTACTCCAAACAAGCACATGATTAAATTTTCGCATAATACTTTACTTCTAAATTTTACTTTTACATCTTCATAAAAATGCCATATTTTATGCTGAGTTAGAAATTGCAAATATTTTTGTATTATTATAAAGTTATACTTCGCAGAAAAAACCCCCGCTTAGAAGTTACACTGTCTACAATGAATGAGAAAGTTGAAACTGATTTCTATTATAATGACGTCATTTGCAAGAGTGTAAATGAAACAAATTTACAACCTGAAAACGAGTGGAAATTCAGAATGTTCAGCCTCCTTTTACTACTAGGCATAGTGATGACTGTGGTAAGTTTACATTTACTCATCTTCGTCATTATATTAAAATAATTTTCAGAATGTTTGGTTTTTATTTTAATATTTGCTGTAGAAAATTATTGCTTTGTTTTCTATAATATTTTATTTGCTTCAGATATGTAATGTAAAGTTGGTTATATTTTAATTTTGGGCTCGATTTACGAACCTGTAAGAGTATTAGTTGCAAAAATAGTATAGCATTATGCCCCTTGTAAAAGAAAATATTTTCAAAAATTCAAGTTACTGGTACTTACAAATATTTAGAATTGAAGAAATATAAAAGTACAGGTATAAAAGTATCTATATATAATTATAAAATTTTAGAGTTGTTATCTATATATTGAATGAATTTATAGCATATGTGTCTCAAAAACATGAAAATAAAAATTATTTCTTTCTCGGTTAATAATTTTTATGCACTGAGCATATGCATTGCGGAATATAGCGTAATAAATTTGTATCTTGTTATACAGCTTATTTGCAAGGGTACTTTGGCTTTAGATAAATGTCGAAACTTTCTTTGTCACTATTTCTCCTTTACAAATGTATTCCAAAGAGCTGCATTTGGTAAATGGGATCATTTTCGCTTCAATTCAAGCAAATTTTGAATTTCATATGCTTAACAGGAATTCCTTTTATTTTGAGTTTCATATGCTTAACAGTAATTTCTTTTATTTTGAGTTTCATATGCTTAACAGTAATTCCTTTTAGTTTGAGTGCCATATGCTTAACAGGAATTCCTTTTATTTATTTATTTATACAGAGGTTGCTTTCAAATATATACAAATTGGTAAGCAGCAAGGCTTTAGAAGTCCTGATACCACTGGAATTTCTACAATCTATGCTGTTCGTGGGACAGGTAAGAATGAAAATAAAATTTTAATTTTTTTTCGAAATTAAATACACATTTCTTAATAAAATGGAGCTTTCAACTTTGGGGTTCATGTTCTCACTTCTTCGACATTTCCTTCGTTTTATTCAAGATTTTTGCAAAATTGAGATAGATTTAAAAATTTTCTGTTAGTTATCATTTAAACCTGATGACTAGAATTTAGAGAATAATGCAAATAGTTAGCAAAACCAAAGAATTTATATGGATATAAACACACCATAATCCTTTACTTTACTAAATTTTGCATTGCACTATAAATAATAATTGGTAATAAATTGTGACAATAAAATTTGTTGACAATTGACAATAAATATATAAATAATTGACAAAAAAATCGTTGGCAATTGACAATAATATATAAAAGTCACCTGCTTATTCTAACTAAAATTTACTTTTAATTATTACAATAATTAGTTGCACCTTTATTTTGTGCATATTTTGGGGTTATTTACTTTGATCTAACGGATTAATTTTCGGTTCTGAAGATTTCTGAATAGCGTTCTCCAAGAAAATGATGGATGTTGTTTTACGGCTTTCCCCATTTTTGTTTGAAATTTTTCATAGGAATTTTAGATTTAAAGAATTTTAATGGAAAGAAGGAAGAATGATATTAATGAAATTTAGATTAAATAAATCTTTGCTCAATAGACCAGGTCATAGCCATTTTTTTAATTATGTTTTATGAAATAAGTTAATGGATGAAAATCATTTTTGTCTTAAACGTTTTTCATAGTGAAATGTAGAGTAAGTACATAAATTTCCGGTTCTAGAACAATTTTTAAAAGAAAAAAAATATTCTCTCTGGCATAATCTTATTATAACTCTTGCATTTTACTGATCCGTGGAATTAGACTGAAGTAAAACTGTCTTATTAATTTATTACCTTTGTCTATCAATTTTATGAAGTGCGTTTTCACTTTAGTAATTACTAGCTTTCCTCAAATTTACGATTTGAAAGAACACCTACAAGTACTCAGTATCAGTAAACTGATACTGCCGTCGAAAATGAACAATTTAAGAGAATTCAGAATAAGACATAACTATGAAGTTTGGAAATCATTTCTTGTTTAATGGAAATAACATGGTGATGTCGTATCACCATAGTTTAAGAATGAATTATCACAACTTAAAAGAATCAATGTAAACACAAATCCTATTTTAGATTCATCTAAAATTTGAACTATTTTACAAATTGTATTTTGTACTGGAAATGAATGTTCTAAAATCAGGGTAGATGTATATACATAAAGATATCCATTTTTTGCTGCAACTAAGGCCTTTTGGATGTTACGAGAATATAAATTCAAGGATTGAAATTTTAATAGATGCAAAAATATATTTACAACACCTGATGCAAAGCAAATACCTTTATGAAACTTTTAACGTCTTTCGATGTAGTCACCAGCTTTGTGTATGACGGGCGTTCAGTAAAATATAATCTTAAGTATGATGTAATACAACTGGGTTAACGAAATGTTTTTAAAAGAAGTGCATCGTTATTTAGGAGTATAAAAATATAAATGTTATTATTTAATTTCTTAGAGGCTGATAAACATTGTCAGTCAGTCTGTTTCAGTTTTTCAATTAATACTGAAAAGTCAAACATCGTTCAGTGACTGAGTTCTTGAGAAAATCAGGCATAACGTCGACAAATATACAATAGCACATGGTCGCAATCTGCAGTTATGCAGCATTTTCCTTTGCAACCGCCGAAAGGTTGGCTTCTACAATAGAACTCCAATTATCCGAATTAATTGGGACCGGATACTATTCGTATAATCAAAAAATTTGGATAATCGAATCTTTCCCGAAGAAAGGGTCTACGTACACTTCAATAAATTATTGTATGTACTATATGTTGAAAATGGAAGAAAAAAACTATCTTTAAAGAAAAAGAGGTTTTAATTAATCAAAATGAAAAGACAAAAAGTACATGTTATATAGCGCACTGTACAGTACTTACAAGTGCTGAAAGTCATTGCTTGCTGGACATATCGGTCAAAGTAAGCTGCTTGACTATCTTCATCCATTTTCGGGCGGCCAAGTAGTGCGTCCGCTTGACGGTGAGAAGTTGCATTCGGTCACACTCGGACTGATGCTCCATCCACTTCAGCGCAGTTTCAAGGCCGGTAAACGTTTCAATAGCTGATGGTCCCGTGTCTGCTTCAACTTCGACACTAAGGTCATCTTCTTCCTCGACACTTTCTTCTCTCACACCTTCAATAAGTTCTTCATTTAGAATATGAAACCCAGCTTCTGACGAATCAAACACCATCCATTCTGCTGTATCCATCCTCACCATTAACTTCTGAACATCGAGGAATTTGCAAAAGAATGTTTCTGAATTCCTCAAGTGAGACGTCATTCTTATCTTCTACTCTCTCTTCTCTTTCCTTTTCTTGAGATTCTTTTTCATTTTTCTCCTCTTCCTTGTCTTCATGATTGATTTTGAAATTCTGAAAGAGGTTCGGATAATTGGAGTTGTACTGTATAATTAACTAGAGAAAACATCACTCGCAGGTCATCTTAGACGAGACTATCGTACAGATAAGCCTACTGAAGAAATGTCCAGGGATATATGCTGGAAAGCAGACTAGTGACAATTGGTCATGCTATATGAATTGGGACAACAGTGCTGGATCAGAAGAAAAAAGAACTTGTATGAAAAGCTGGGCATATCGAAGATCTGTACTAGTTGAATATCCAGAATATTTGCTCCAGACAGAAAAAAACATTGAGAACAATGTTCTCCAAAGTGCAGTCTATGATAAAAATTGACAAAAATTTTCATTCACAGCTACAGACAGAAGATGAAGCATGCCTTCATAAAAACGTGAATGTTTTTGACACCGCCAAGTTTAGGAGTCAGAAATTTGCTGGCAAGATACTGGGGACTATTTTTGAGAATGAAATGCCGCCCCTGCCTATTGATTTTACTTCACATAATATAACAATAATAGGAATTCATTATGTTAATTTGACTCAACTTAGAAAAGCCACATAAAGGTGAAAAGCGCTGACCTAGCTTAGGAGAAACGTTTTGCTTTTGTACAACAACGTTGCAGCTTACGATGTTAAGATTTCTCAGGCTATTTCTCAGCAGTGCGAATTTTACCCTCACCACAGCTACTTTGCTCACTAGATTCAGTCCTATTTACTCCTTTTTGCTTTAAAAACTAAAGCAATTGTAGCGTGATTCAGTGATCAGTTGGGTGATTCAGTTACAGTGATAGTGATGTTTACAGTGATGGACACCGTTAAGGAATAGCTTAAAAGCTGTAAAAAGCGCATTTGCTACTGGACTCCTATGCCTTAACAGAACCCCGCAAAATGCGTTGGCAGTGATGTGAAAGTCGTAGTGCATTCGTAGTAGCGTCTATTGTTTTGATGCCGTGAATGCAGCTATTTATTGCTTTACAAAGCTCTAGAACAATTCCGAAACGAATGTCATGAAACAGTTCTTACATCTTATTAATGAAATCATAGTCACAAAGTCTTATGTCTAGGGATAAAGTGGAGGGTAGATGATTTCTCAGCCCAAACAGATAAAAAAATAAGCGACAAGGTGCGCTACATTCATTAAAAGGACTCTGAAAAATGTGTGATCACTTCTTTCGCAATGCTGATAGCCGACCAAGTTCAAAAAATTAATATTAATATAGCACATTTTCTCTTCATTATTGAAGTGAGTCATCACAGTCATACATGAAAATCATCATTAGAACGTTTAATTTTCGTGATGACACGCAAATAATGCCACTCTTTCGACTGGCATTTGAGTTCTTACTGGTAGTACTTGACCCATGACTCATCCAAACTAAAGAAACTATGTAAAAGACCTGTCCTTTTTTGCTCCAGTGGGTTTGATTAGCATCTTTATCGGGCCACTTTTTTATTTATAATAACTCAACTATTCCTGCTACAAGAATATCATGGCTGTACAGTATATGATTACCAGCTCATACTAGACTCTATTCTTTTCATCACGGCTCATATACAGCGCATCGGAAGGGAGTTCGAGCTATAGTTAAATAACAAATCGATTTTGGTATAAGCTAGAAGCACGTTTTAGATTTCAAAGCGCATACACAGCAGTGTTGCAGCTATTAAAAGTTTCAACACAATTAATATTTTCAATAAAGGATGTGTTCTTATTCTTCAGTAATTTGCTTATACTCAAATACCTTTCCTCCATAAAATCTCAGAGAGTAAAATTTCGATATTAGATGAACAAGAAAAAGAAACACTAAGAATCTATAACAGTACTAAATATAAAAGCAGATAAATATATTAACAACTGGTTGATTAAAGAGTAACAGAAGGCCAGCAAGACGTTTATAAAAAAAAGACTGGAAAAACAAAAACCTATTAATCAGCGCAGCATAAAAATATTAAACTTACAAACGTATCAAATTCAGGTTGTACTTTAAAAGTTTAGTCTTATAAAATAAAATAACTGCTTTATTCTCACTGATTCCTTCATTTTGAGAAAGAAGAGATTTTTTTTTTGGGGGGGGGGTTACTAAACGTTCCATGAGCTTCTTGTATTGTAGACTACCCTGCTATCTACTAAAAGGGAAGAAATATAAATTAATAATCAGTATAATAGGTGGATAACTTGGAATTTGAGTAGTTAAATTTCTTCTTGAAACTACATTGAGAGATCCACATATATTGAATAATTATTTTCTTACTGCATATTATAGTTGTTGCTAAGTAAATGAATTTTCATAACGCTTTAGAATGTTTATATTTAACAGCATTTATTTAAATAAATGAGAGACAGTTACCAATTGCAATTATATCTGTAGATAAGGCAATTTTGCAGTTTAAATGTACAATTTAGTATACTACTTTGCTGATGCGAAGTTTTGCCACTAGGTAAGAGAGGTTTTAGTGCTATTGCAAATCAATCAAGAACATTAAAAAAATTTTAAGCAAATGTTTCTTTACTAATTTAGAAGTCAAACAACAAAAATCAAAACATCAACAAAAAGTTAAATCTCAAAATCTGTGGTTCCGTAAAACCATCGAAACTAATCCTGTGAAAATTTTCAAGTATAACGCTGATTTTTGTTGTTCGACTTCTAAATTAATGTTTGTTCGGTATGTTATTTGACCTAAATGTTTCTTTATTTAAAGTTTATTCGAAGAAGTCTCTTTAAACTTCTATTTTAAGCATTAAATACTAGACTAAAATTTAAATGGTGTATGCTCTTAAACGTAAACAAGCGTTATAAAATGTGTTCTCATTAATCTAAATAGAAATCATGTACATAATTCACTTTCGATTTTGGTCTGATCTTTCATATGTGAGAATACTGTTGCAATAAAACTTGGCAAGAACAAGAATGTTTATATTGTCATAATTGAGAGGAATTATTGATTTATACCATGTTCATAAACTGACATATTTTTCTTTTAGGGTTTATTCACGTTTCTTAATTTTGGGATCGATATTCGCACTTTATCATTTGGACTGATAAAACGGTAAGTACCGTTGTTCTTTTATCCTTTCGGTTTGCCTGTTAGGCTTAGAAATAAAATATTTCCTTAAAACGTACGTCTTAGAAGTAATAGAGATTCATATGCAAAAACATTTACTTTATATATTCTTCCCATTAATTAGGTTATTGATGTTGTAAACTATTCAGAGAAAATTAATAATTTCATCAGTAAATCTGGGAAGTTTCATTTGCCTAAATGGCTACATTAGTGTCTGTATATGGAATCTCCAAGCATAGCTCAAATGAGCACGCGCGTTGAAATTTTATCTAGAGGGTAGCATTTAGAAAAAAAAATTAACACCCCTGCCATCCGAAAGCAAAATGTTCTTTTTAAATCTTTCATCAACTTGATATCGCTTAAGCAGAGGAAAAGAAATAACAGTCATTTAAATTTTTAAGTGTACTTGAAGTTTTTTAAGATTAGTTAAATCTCAAAATCTGTGACTCGATGAACTGATAAAATCAATAATAGGGAAAAAATAAAAATATAAATATAAGTAAATAAATTACAATAAATAAATACACAACAAGACAATAATAGCGATAAACAAATTCAAAAATAAAAAATATTAAATATTAAATTATTTTATAATCTTGAAAGCTCATGAAGCACGAAATTCTGTTATTTTTATTATTAACCCATGTTCATTTTATTATCCTTTTCGAATAGACTCATTAAAATTTAGAATGAAAGCTAAACATTAGTAACAAACAAAATATGTATTTAAACAGAAATGCATTTATATATAGTTGGAGAAAGATAAAAAATGGAAAAGAAGAGTTTGTCCCAGGAAAACATGGACAAGTGTATGACGTGATGCACGTCGGACAGCAGTTCATGAAGTATTACTATGATCACTGTTTCCGAAATCTTGCTAAAGAGAGGAGGTAAGTTATTTGCGAACTCTATTGTATTGCATACAACATGTATTTTAGAGATATTATGTTGTTAAAGACTGCTGATTGATATTATTATTTTAGACAGTTTACTTAAACAGTTCTTTAATGCACTGTGAATCAGTCACATTTGCCGGTTTGCTCATAAGACTAGAAAATAAAAAATAATATCTCTTAAAATTATATTCTTTTGGAAAAGGGATATCCCTTATATGGCATATCAAACGCAATAATGACCTGCTTTCTTCAGTAACAAAATTGATCCAAGCTACTTCGAAAGCCCTGCTGCCACAGTCAGGTTTTCCTACGCTTGTGGGTATCGCTCGAGCCGCCATATTTCAAATATATTCCTAGACCGATTAACGAATAGATATCACAGCATTTTAGAAACTGTTTCTGTCCACAACAGCACATAATTTAATTGTGCATAATCTGGAACATGTAGATAAATCATCGAATAAAAAGAGATTTTTCAATTAAAAAAATAATTAATTTTACAACTAATTAGCCTTCTTCCAATTGAATCCCGTCGAAATTCGAGAATAATATTAACAGAAACATTATTCTTCCTCTTTTTGAGGCATGCTCTTATTTTGCATGCTGATTTAATTTACATAACTAAATGAACTTATTCTTCGAATCAAACTGTTTAAAAATACAGGTAAAGTTTTAATAATATTTTTAAAAATTATAATATAGTCTATTTGTCATTGCTCTAATTATTTAACAATTATGGGGTTATCTGTGATTTTGAGTTAGATGCAGGCTTAGCCTCCGGTACTACCCCGATTAATCAGGAGTCTACCGTACTTTGTTTTAACAAATAAAAGACCGCACAATGCTCCTCCCTTTCCCTCCAAAAATTAACATTGCAACCTAAGAACTTCTGATTACATTTCTAACACCTCGCAAAATCAAATAGTTCAAAAAATATTTTTAAAAATCTTAAATTAACGAATTATAAGATTCAAAAGAAACTGCAACCAGATTTTTATGATCAGTTTAACATCTGAAAATGTGTATAAGATAGACAGCTACAACAGGCTTAATAGTTTAAGAGTTTATACCCCAAGAGATTAAAGATATAGAATATAAAATCTTTTGTTTAAAAATAGTTGCTTAAAATAACAAAATGAAATGGTAGGCAAACAATGCTATGATGGCATTCCATTTTAAATTACAGATCTGTGCCTTTCTCTAATTTTCAAATATACTAGCTAGTATTTATTTCACTGGACCGCTTACGTTTGTAACTTGCAACAAACATTTCCTTCAAGTGGCAATCATTTGTGTTTCCTTATTGCATGAAATTAGTGAAATGGAAATCGTGAACACCTCGAAAATGTTTTCATTGAGGTTTAAAAAATGTACCTCTGATATTTAATATGAAACACAGTGGTGTTTAAGCGCTTAAATATCTCATTATAATACAATACAATGCATCCGACTCTGTTGTCTATATGCATAATGCACCCTCTGTCCCAGTGTTTTTTTACTGTTACCAAACCGAACAAGAACTTTTCTTATGTAGTCTTTTAAATTGATTACACTTTTATTAAAAATTTTTGTATTGAAATAAGCTGAATTTTAAAGAAACATGTAATTAATTAGAGCTATAATTAATATAATGTAGATTAAATTTACATTACACAGTAAAAATTTATGAGTAAAATGTTCGTTCGTTTTTATAGCCCCACCAGTGGCCGAGTTTTAAAACCTATGAATACCGGTAATTTGAGATATTTTGGGTTCAATCCCAGGCAAAAGGGCACATTACTTAGTTGATTTTCGTAATTTTTCCATGTGTAATGCGAGTACGAAAAATTTCCTCTCAGAATGTCCTCCTTTCATGTCTCCTCTCCACGAGGCAAATAACCCTCGTGGTTTTGCCATGTTCAAATAACCTAAAATAACCTCAGATTTTATATATTTTAGCGATAGATAATCTACTGATTAATTAATATGGAAGAGTTTTTTTTTCAACAAATAGAAAAAATAAAGTAATTGCGTATCTGTCTCATTGTGATTTTCGTGGATGAATCTCAGTTACCCTTTTCCAACTTAGTAGAAAGGATAAAACACTTAAAAGAGATGTTATGACATACATATTCTAAAATTTCAAATACCTAAGTTATCTTAGTTTTTTTAATATAAAATATGTATTTATAAATTTCCATGACTTGCATTACAGTTAACTGCTCTGCAAGTCATGTATTTTCCATTTATCATATTTTATTTTAACAGTGATTACCTAAAGAAAGATTTCTATTTTTCTAAAATGACATGCAAAAAAATATGTAAATTTTTCTCTTTACAGTTTATAGCGACTAAACTTTCGGAAATCTGATCTGTTATTTAGAAATAGCAGATATCCGCAATATCTTCTAAAAATTAACTGAGCTTTTGTTAGTATTAAAACATTTTGCTAACTGACGTGTTAACAACACAGACAAGGAGAGCAAGCCCATTGAATGCGATAATATCTTACATACTTTCTCACTTAAAGCAAGACTGAAGAGAGAGCTAATTGAATAAATCTAGATGATAATGAATTATTCCCCACCACATTTTTATTTCCGACGCTACTGTAGAGACTCCGAAGCCAAGTAAAATGAGAAAATCAATCAATGTCCTCACCGGGATTGGAACCACTGATCTTTTACTTGCTAACTGGACGTGCCTAATCACTAGTACTGCGAAAGCACGCAAGGGGAAATACAGTAATTAACTTTAAATTAAAAGAGGAATGAATTTAGTTATTTGTTCAAACGTTCAATTCATGAAGTAAAGTGGAACAGTAAAAGTAATTTTTATTTAAGCTGTAAGATTTGTCTGTTTTATTCCACATAAACTAAATTAGATCCTACAATGAACCTGGCGATTTCTCGCACAGGCGTGAATGAGTTACCAGCACAGAAAGAAGGGTGAAAACAACCCTTTATTAATTCAAACAAGAACAGAAAAGCACTATCTCCGCACTTTACAAACTCACCGTCAAGTAGCGAGGAAACTTAAACGTAGTATATAAATAATTCAAAACTAATATAGAATAGTGCTGGATTAGCACGTTAAGTGACGTCTAAGAGGTTGACTCAACAAAAAGTTAACAGGCGTGACGATAATCCGAAATGGCCAAGAGGTAACAGCGAGATAGTAAAGAAACGTGCGCTGACTAGCGAAAACACGCTCTGAATAAACTCAGGGATTCATCCGTTTAAATACTCACTTAACTTTAAATTTACATCCTGGCGAGAAAATGCGAGGGGAAGTTGAGGAGTTCAGGAAAGGTATCAAACTTAAAATAAGTTTGTTATGCAAAATAAGGTAAACCCTACAATACAAACCTCAAAATTAAATTCCTAAACTAGTTTATATTCCTGCCGAGCTGAAATGAAAACGAATGAAAGTAAGTTTTGGTTCCGTAAAACTAAAGGTTAAAGTAACTTCGGTTTAGCTAAAGCTTTATTTTGTTAAATAATATAAAATGCTTAATTGCTTTTCCATGAATCAGTCGATGCGTCATATATATTAAATAGATTTTTCTAAATATTATAGTGCATTTTGTTTTAAAATTATTATAATCAATAAAATGTAAAAATTCAAATAATAGCAAAATTTATTTCATTGGCCTATCAGAATATCTGGAGCGCAGGTAATTGAAGTTCCATTATAGTTACCTCTTAGTATAACTGGTCATTCATTCAGAGTAAATTATATTACTGTTGCTTTTGTTGCAACTTATGTTAAAATATTTCAGGTGGAAAGGAAATGTTTACAAAGATTGCTTTTGGGGTCACCAGTTGATAAACTGGATGATAGAAGAAGGAATTGCTAAAGATGATGAGGAAGCTGAAGAACTAGGACAGAAGTTATTAATCTGCGGTGTTATTCGCCATTACAAAGGAGTCCATCACTTTTACGACGCTCCATACCTCTATTTCTTTGTACGAAATATCTCAGAATCTTCATCTTGATATTAAACTCTATGATAATATGAAACAATATCTACTTTATCTGCGTGTTCTGCACTGTAAATGGTTATGTGTTATAAAGCTTTCGCATAAAAGTCTGGAACTGATGATTTATAAGTTAATTTTCTTACATATATTTTATCTCCTTAAGTTTTTTTCTTTATGTATATATATTTGTTTACTACTCATTTCGTTTATGCTAACATTTCCTGCAAAGAACACTTTTCTTGTCAGAATGAACTATTAAATTGCTGATAGACCTTTTTACTAAACCTATTTTAACAGATATCACAAATATATTAAAACAAGTTCATAAATCATGTAGACCAGATAATAGTTTTAAAAACTAGTACCTATACTTATATTAAATGCTAACTGTTGCATCTATGCTTCAGACATAGTTCAACTGAAAAAGGCTAATAGAAAGACGCATCTTGTATATATTTTTTTGTTTTGTTTATTTGTTTAATTTATATCTGCAAAATGTCGGTTTCTGCTAATCTGACGATGTTCTACAATTTTATAATTTTAGAACTTTTAGAACCTCTTTCACAGTTTCCGAGATCTAATACCTAACTTCTAAATTTTACCTGCTAAGGATGCTACAATCAGTCTCATACAGCAGAGCTTCGTCGCTTTACTATGGGAAAAACTTCATTTACAAATAAAATTCTTTCCTAAAAATATTTTGGGCGATTCACCACTTTTCTCGTACTATATACTTTCACTATAAAGTACGTACTTTTAATCTGTACAGGATGTAACATTATTCAGTGTTGTATACTATACATAATTGTATAGCATACTACAGCAAACATCTTGCATTGGAATGTATAAACGCAAAGAAAAATTAAAAGACAAGAAATAAGGCATGGTAGACAACACATTGTTGTTTACTTGTTCTTTGATACATCCTTCTTTGCAACAATGTTTATAATTATTTCTCAACACTGCTTTCATCAACAACAATAGTACAATTACTCGACAGTTTCACTGTTGCCGGCAGATGATAGTATGTAGCTTTCTTAGCATCCTGCTTACTTAGAAGGTTTCGTTTATTTGATTATGGCAAAGCACACAGGGGCTATCTCGCTAAAGGGAGGTTGCAGAAAGTAATTTTTTAGAGTAAATTTATAAGATACTTCATGAGATATTTTAAATAGTTTAGAAAATAAAGTAAATGTTTCAGTCTCTTGAAGTTAAATAGATTTTACACTGAATCTATACACACAGAAGTCATTTTATCCGACCTTTATTTTATCAACCGATGGTCGTACATATATATTTTCAGTTACAAAAAGGTTTTAAATGGTATTAAGATTCATAAATGGGTATTTTAAATTTAAAGACATGAGTTTTGTAAATATTAGGAAATCTAACATTTTATAAGTTCTTTCAGCCCCTATGCTACTATTTAGAAAAATTTTGTGCTCTTTATAAAACGTAAAACACAAAAGGTTTAACACCCATGTGACAAAAAATGACCGAGAACTGATGAATTGATTGATGAAATTAAATAATTAGTTTCAATAAGAAATTCCACAACAGGATAAAGAATTACGTCCTTAAGCTGCACATCTACCAAGAGATTTAAATTTTCCGACGTAAACTCTACACATGCACTCCTGTATTTGTATATAGTTATTTTTCTGTCTGTATTTCGATTTTTTGTTTCTATTTCGTGTATCTATTTTTTTTTTTTTTTATCTTTACTATGACCTTAATCTCATATTCCAATCTATTAGGACTCCAGTTTGATCTCTAAGAGAAAATGTTCTCCTCTCTTCCACATTTGTTAAATTTTCTATTTTTGGAATCTCACTTGATGTATTTTTTGTGATGTGCCTTTATGGCAGCATTTTTATTGAGACGGACTCATTGCGAAATTTGAAGTATCGAGACATAATGTTACCGATACGATAGTTTCTTAGTTGTTGCTCAGTTCAGCGCGAGTTCGGAGTATTGAGAGATCTCCGTAGAAGCTTCGCCTTTTTAAATGGGCTTTGTATTGATTGTGTTGTGCTAAAAGTTCTTAGTAATTTGAAGTACAACTACTTACTGTACACTGTAATACTGAGAAGAGCTGTATAAGTATTTTTGTGGAAAATTCCTAAACTCTACTTTCCTTTTCGCAAAATAAATTTCATCAAGCTACAATCGGTTTTGTGTGCATTCAATCCATTACGAACTCGTACGCATGCAACAATACATAAGTATATAATGCAGAATGTAAACACTGTAATACAATATGTAATTATATATGTCTATTACATATATATAATTGTATTATAATTGAAAATAGTGCCGGCTGTGTATATTCATGCATCACATAATAATCATTGCAAGTTTATGTTTTGTAATTTACTGTTCAAGCAATGTTTAGTAAAAATTAACGAAATATATATGCAGGATACATACAAAAGATGGTATGCATGACTTTTGTGATGTAATTATAGAGTGCGTTAAGTCTATCTGAATCAAAAGGTTAGAAAATGTTAGGGGTGAATTAACTAATAATCAACAACAGGAGTCTATGTAACCTGAGCATTTATTGTGACACTAATGCATTCTGCCATAAAGCAGATAATTCTAGCTGAATGAAAGTGACTGCTGCTCCATTTAAAAGAAAATTAGAGTAGTTACCTAATCTGACCCTGCAATGAACAGAAACAGAGAGAAACAGTAATGACAAAAATTGTACAGTACCATCTAAGAACGGTACCCAGAAATATATGAATGCGCAATACCTATAGCTATGCATCACTAAATGAAAGTCAAATGCAGAATGCATTATATTTAGAACAGCATATTATAGAAAGATTTCTGTATTTTATGGTACTTTTCTCATATGTAACGATTAATTACGCATTTAACACTTGTTATTCGGTTTGTGATATTAATCTTCGTATCTCACCCAACTCCTTATTGTTCAGGTTTTGAGTGGTAAAACTTCAAGAATCGTTCAGATACCTAAATATGTAAGCCTGAAAGCACCATTAACAGTTTATGCAATAACGATTTGCATTTATTAAATGAGGTACGAGATAGATAAATCACAGTAAAAGCATTCCATGGAGTGCTACTCGTGCAATCATTATTATGAGATAATATTTTACGCTGAGTGTAATCTTAATGCCGGGTAAGCTTCTAAATACAGTGCCAGCTTTTACCACTAGGCCCACGTATAACTGAAAAAGAAAACTGCAGTACGTTTCAACAGCATCAACCGGATCCTTAATTTCAATGGCTTATACTTTCGGGGTATTTAAATGATAACAAAGGTTTAAACTTCGATTACAGTTTAGTCATTTCAACCCTAAACATTATGAAGGCGATGTGTGAGGCATGTGGAATAATGTTTCCAAGAGTTGTAGAGTCTTCTTTTGTTTTTAGCGATCATTAGACTGGTAGACCCTACTGGAAGACGAGGTAGCGAAACCTTTTTGTTTTAACTAAACTGAACAAACACGTGCTCACTCGGTGCTCACAAGTAACCACCACTTGTGGCTAAGTAACTTGAACAGAAAAAAAAATAGACTAGAGTATCAATATAATCTAAAGAAAGTGGCTAGCACCAACTATTCAACTACAAAGTTGCTAAATCAACCACGTCACATAAGTTCAAAGCTAACTCTCCTACCACGAACTCTTAAAATTGCTGCTTAAATGTCGTTTCCAAACTCATTTAGATTTGCATATACGTCACTCAGTTTACATTCTGGCAGTAAATCGAAATCAGAAAGGAAGTTTCTTAAACAAAAATAATTGGTTAGAACAGAATAAGGTCTTTACAGAGTAAGGAAAATTTTCTCCAAACTTAGACCATCAGATATAACAAATAACCAAAAACCATCAGATATAACAAATAACCAAACATTGGAGAAATATTTCTATAACGACGATTTAGTAAAAACAATCCATTCTGAAATAGGTTTAAATACAGTGACGGATAAATGGTAATTACTGTAGATTAGGTGCATTTCTGGTTGTCAATTATAAGTAATTAGAGAGCTACAAAGTGTAATTAATTGTTTCTGTTCTAACTTGCTACACTCTAGAACTGGATTTGAGTACACCTTTTTAATTTTCAGGTAGGGGGATACAATTACTTTTATTCAGTCCAGCATGTCCACTACAGATGAAGTAATGCGTCCGTCTAGTATCACTCATTTAAAAATAAAAGTGATCCAAACCGAACTTTCTTTTAGATAGTGCGTTATATTTTACCGGCAGTATATTCTTAATAGAGAAAAATGTATTTAAAATTTATAAGTAACCAGTAAGAAATGAATGTACACAATATGAGCTCAATATATATTTTAATTTTTAAATGTAAAACAACTGGTTTCGTATAAAATTTTTAAAACACATAACTTGGCAAGCATGAAAACAATAATCTACAATATAATTTAGTAACATTAAAATTTATCTAAATTATGCAACATTTTTAACTATCATAGTAGACTGCTATAAATATTTAAAAGCAATAACATAAAAATTCATTCTTCAATTAACATTTCTGCAATGTATTTATAAATTTTATTCCACATAGAAATGACTATATGCTTCCTTTAAAAACTTCGTATTTCATATTCCCAACGACTTTAAGCACGTATTGAATGTAACAATTCGGATTTGGAAAGCCTTAACGAGAAAATATAAACTTCCCAATAGCACCAAAGTTTGTTATGAAAAATACTACTGCATCTTTGTAAAACTGTCATTAAATACTAAAATTCCCAGCACGATTTGAAAAAATGTTCATGACAAAAACGCATTCATCATCACATAGAAAAATGCTGCATGGTGTCTCGCATATTAACATTTCTTATCAAAGGCGTAAAACATAGCCAATAATTTCCTCACCAAATTCAAATCTGGCGAGACTTTTGGCGGACTATCTTATTTTCCCATTTTCTGCCAAATACTCAAAATTACACTCGAAGCTTACATTTCTAATCCATATTCATATTTACAAACGTTCGTATGCAGTAAATGTCTTCCTTTTTGGCTTATTGCTTTCAATAGGACTTGAAAGCACTCATAATCAGCATTGACTGAATGGAATTTTTTCCACTTTCTCGAGGATTTTGTTAAAAGTTCTCAAAGTGGTGTATGAAGTAAGGCAGTTTTCGGTTCTTATTCACAGTTTCACAGGCTTTCGTTATGTTCTTCGTCATAGCAGAGGGTCCACAGCTGAAAACGCCGACTTTACTGACCTGTTTGAGACATTGTAATATATTAGCAAATGCATATCAATATTGGTAAAAACTAAACTTTGTTAATATGTAGAAAGAGAAATTTTAGTAAAAATACCTGTAGAACAATTATTGAAATTTTTAACAGCTTATTCAAAGCGAAACCGCAAATCTCATTACCACACTTTCATAATTGTTTTTGTTTATTTCTCTTTTTCGAACATACGATTCATGTTCGAAAAAAAGAAATGTTAAACAAATACTCGATAGCCGGTCATAGGTGGACATTTAATTGTAATGTTCACTTTGATTCTGCCTTTTGGCAGAATTTTTATTCATAAAGCTACTTCAGTTGACGAATTGAATTTCCTGTAATTTTTCAGTCACAAAAATTTATCAACATTGTCAGACTATTAAAATATTATATTTTTATGTTTTATATTACTATATTTTGAACAGATGGCGTAGCGTTAACTTTTCGCTTTACTCCGCCCATAACTTTCGACATAAACGTTTGTGCTGTTTTCATTTTTTAAAATACTTTTGCTCCTGAAGAAAAGGGCGCCAATGTCTGAGCACCCTCGAAATTTACTCCATCTTTTTTTTGGGGGGGAGGTACATAATTTTAATTTTTGCATTGATGGGCGTTTCTTCCAACAGAGTGAAACTGTATGCTTTTCAAGGATACTTTTGATTTTGCAAACCAGATAACCATGGTATATGAAAATAACAGCATCACATTAATGGCATATATCACATGTGTTAGTATAGAAGTTAAGGGATGTGGGTACATCACACAGCAGCCCGCCGAATCTCATCTTCAAAACACTAACGCCTGTGGCCAAACAGTAAAAGCGCTGAACAGGTACAGGTAGAGGCTATGCCAGCACCTCCGTAGTACGACAGGTTAATGGAGGTATTGCTGAACCTAGCTAACTGTTAAGATTCCACTCCAGTTTTGAGTGAGAACACCTCGAAGGCGGTCCGAGTGTCTCCCAACCCTCTTTCCCTACCATCAACCACTCGAGAAGGCTTTCTGGTATCATTGATTTCTGGTATTATAAGTACAGGGTGATCAAAAAGTCAGTATAAATTTGAAAACTTAATAAATCACGGAATAATGTAGATAGAGAGGTAAAAATTGGCACACATACGTAGAATGACATGGGGTTTTATTAGAAAAGCAATAATTAGAAAAGCAATAATCTGATCAGAAAAGCAATAATTAGCATAACAAATTAAGATAAGGCAAAGATGATGTTCTTTACAGGAAATGCTCAATATGTTCACCATCATTCCTCAACAATAGCTGTAGTCGAGAAATAATGTTGTGAACAGCACTGTAAAGCATGTCCGGAGTTATGGTGAAGCTTTGGCGTCGGATGTTGTCTTTCAGCATCCCTAGAGATGTCGGTCGAACACGATACACTTGCGACTACAGGTAACCCCAAAGCCAATAATCACACGGACTGAGGTCTAGGGACCTAGGAGGCCAAGCATGACGAAAGTTGCTGCTGAGCACACTATCATCACCAAACGACGCGCGCAAGAGATCTTTCACGCGTCTAGCAGTATGGGGTGGAGCGCCATCCTACATAAAAATCGTACGTTCTAGCAGGTGTTTATCAGCCAGGCTGGGGACGATGCGATTCTGTAACATATCGGCGTACCTCTCACCCGTCACGGTAGCAGTTACAAAACTAGAATCACGCATTTCCTCGAAGAAAAAAGGCCCGATAACAGTACTTTTTTTTTTTTTTTTTGGTTCTAATAAAACCCCATGTCATTCTAAGTATGTGTGTCAGTTTTTACCTCTCTATCTACATTATTCCGTGATTTATTAAGTTTTCAAATTTATACTGACTTTTTGATCACCCGGTATACATAAATCATACGGAGAAGAGACTGCCCTTCAAAAGTTGAACAACTGACGCTTCCAAAAGTCTAAATGTATGTACAAATGACCTCTCTAAAGCGGAAGGTATAACAAACAAGTCCTTCGAATTCCCGTCCATCAGCATTGCATATAGAAAAATGAAATTGTTGGGACATTAAATTATAACTTTTTTAACCAATGACGGACATTCAGCCGACTTCGGCTTAGCCACTACTAATGCCAGAAGTGGTGGTCACTTTGTTATGGAGCCCCCCCCTCTGCCTCCTATGAAGGGAAGGACAGTTACAATCATGCCTTCTCCGGCGAACCTGGGCTCTTTGGCATTGCAGTCGGCTTCCCTAACCACAATACCGTCTGGGCGGCAAATTATAAAATTTAAATAAATACATTTTAATAATATTATGGAGATGCATTAACGTTAGATGTGACAAATGTCCAGTCCGAGTCTTTGGATACATATAAGAATGTCTCTGATCCTGACCCTAAAATGTCTGTTTTTTAATGCTATTTTTTAAATGGTAATAGATTGTTGTTAGGTTTACTCAGATGTTTACGTCTGTCAGATTACAGTCAAAACTGTAATGATCAGGTCATCCTTTTCGCCACTTATGCGGAGATTCGTGGGACACATGCTTGTGACATGGATGTAGATGAGGAAAGGTCTGTGCCCTGTGATGTACTGATTCAGAACATGATCATAGTGCAAAGCCTCTTTGTCAGTTCTTGGGGAAAATCAGCCGAGTGTTCTGCCTTGCAATGCAGAATCCCATTCTTCTCGCCATTTTGAGTCGACAATTGCATTCAGGGGGTAAATTTTATCACCTCATGCTTTGCAAGGAGGTCAGCCACCTCGTTGCCGTCGTGCTTTCATCCAATTGAGGAAAATCTGGATTTCTGGGTGGGAGTGTTTATTGTGTTTTGAATATCTTGAACCAATTGGTTCTTATTGTTTCTCTCCTTCAAGGCATATAATGCAGATTGACTAACTGAATGTATTGCCATTGTCCTGAAATTATTTGAGATGGCTTTATTCACTGCAGATTGACTTGCTGACAGCTCAGCTTGATAAACTGAGTCTTCTGGAGATAATTTTCCTTGCCATATTGTTGGAATAGAGGAAGATCAGCAGATTATTGACGCTGCGCCCATTTCTTCATGAATTTTACAGTAGTTCCACCTAGATTCAAGCCCAGCGAACGGCTGGCTGCCACGGAAATTTCGCGGATTTCTCCGTATGCAACATGGATACATACAACATTCTTTTTCATTAGACAGGTAACCCTTATGTGCTTTGCTGAAATCTAAATAATCCTGATCCAAGGCAAAGAAACAAGTTTAAAAAAATTCAGAATTTGTCCTAATTTTTTCTGCTCTATAGGACGTCGGGCAAAAGATCTGCATTATTACACAAATTCAAAATTCTAAAATGGCGCAACCTATTGGACTGCAATTTGCAGCAAAATAGAGGGAAACTCAAAAGATCGCTTTAAAAGCTGCATGATTCAAAAGTTAAAGTTTTTAAATCTGTATGTAACAAACTATCCACGGGCATTTTCAGTTCCATGAAGAATGTCCAGACTTCTTAAAATATCCTCGCGCACATTTTCTCGCTTATTTTCATAAGACTCCTTAAAAGTCTATATTTAACGCTTGTTTAATTTTGCTAGAGAAACATAAATTCTAGAGATACTTCGCGGCGTTTTCTCCGCTTTATATGATGTTAATTCGTGCACTTATATTCGACTTTATTTACCTATCTACAGCAAACTCTATAATTTATCTATATTGCGACCATTTTAAATTCAGCAAGTTTTTTATATAAAAAGTAAACTTAACATTATCTTATGTTTACCTAAAATTCATAGATTTTTTTTTACTATCATTAGAATTTATTACCAATAAAATTTTTCATTACTTTTTTCAGAGCAATACTCTATTTTAGTCATTTATATAGTCTCTGTATATCTTTCTTCTGTAAGTCTCAGGGTATATTTTGAGGAACACGAGGAAATACAATTTAACAGACAACTAAACTGGGAAGGAGCGTTAAGCATTTGTGTAATAAATACCTCTGTTTCTATATACAAATACACACACATACAGACCTCATTGATAAGGCATACATATTGAATTTATTCCATGCCTATTTGAATAAACCTTCACAGAGCTCTTAAAAAGGATTCAGACTTTCAGCACTTACTGTTCGAGATGGAAGCTAGGAATGTTCCTTCCTCAATTAATGATAACATAAATTATCTCTTGGAGTATATTAATGTTAAATAAATTCAATATCAATTTATAAGAATTGATTAAAAAGAGTTAAAACAGTTAGCTAAAAATAGATAAATAAGTATGAATATTGTAAGAAATAATATTTGGCTTTTGAAGAAAAATATATGAACAGACAAAAATTTTAAGTGAATATCTGACTCTATTTTATATCGCTGTTTAGAATCTAATATTAATAACTTACATAGGTATGTTGCTGCTGCACAAATTTGAGGAACGCTGTCATATCTGGCCTTCCAAAGTGGTTAACAGCTTTAAGTCCCGTGAACATGCTGCAATTTGATATTCTCTGGAAGTGAGTTTCACAAATGTACTGCAAAAAATAATGAAACTATTAGTTGTTCCTTTAACTAATTACATTTAAAGGAATTTCTCTCATTTCTTTGTTCCGTTTATTAAGATTATTACAAGGTATAAAATTATTAGCAAAGCAACAACTTGTGTTTAGCATAGATTTTAGTTAGTACTCTACCATTTCGAGGTCAAACAGGTAAAGATCCCTCTTAACCAAGAACAAAGAAATCTACAACGAAAGGAAAGCCGCAGTTGCATTTAGACTCAAAAGGAGTGAAATGAGCGAGAAAGAACCATCTATCGGCAGAAACAGTAACGAAACTGAAAAATTAAGTTAATTTTAAAATAACTGGATTAGTCATTAACAAAACAATGTAAATCTTTGTGAATGTGAAAAGCTTCCAGAAAATCTAACTCACCAATGGAAGAAGCATTTTTGATAATATTTGAAGATTCAAAGTCAAAACGAGGAGGTTAGAATAGAAGGAGGGAGGGTTCGCAGTTTCCTCCACTATCGGGGAATGAAGCTCCACGGAACAAGCGGCGTCCATGTTTGTAACTTCAAAACATTTGCCATACGGTAGCGAAACGTGCGTGTTTCTCAGCTGTTAAATGCAGGGATTTTCCAGTAAAAATATCTTAAATTTATAATGAAATGCTTCGCTATTGTTAGTTTTTTGTTTTAAAGTTATAAAGATGATATCCGTAATTTACTAAGTACAGAAAATCATTAAGCAATAGTTCGAAATTTAATGATGTTTCTGCATAACTTCAAGAATTTGTATAGGTTTTATTATCAACTTGTTGGGTATACTTTCCAATTGTTTCTTTAAGAAGTGATATTTCTGATTTATTCGCAATATTATTACAATTTATTAAAGAATCACTTGGAATAATTTTTACCTGAAATTAATAGCAGATAATTATCTAAAAAAAAATGGTAACATGTTGCTTTTTTTTAAATGAATGTTTTAAATAGATTTTTTTCACAACCAACAACCTTATATCAACAAGCAAATAAATATTAATAAAATAAACCAGATTTATGCGAATTCAATGATTTCAGTTTATGCGCGTTTCATATTTATAAATCTCAAAGAAATTACCTTGAATTAAGCTGAATTACAGAAATGCACCTATATAAAATTTTGGATATATCTTTTCACATGTTCAATTGTGTAAATATTTTACTTACGTTTATCGCAATACTGCCCAGAAATTTGTAAGCTTATGCAAAAACATTTTAACAACTGAACACTTTATCTCGATCAAATGCACAAATTATATTCGTAACAGTTCGCAAAACTTAAAAATGAATAATAATTAATGCATAAAGAAAGCGTTGCTTTATTTAACACTTTTACAATTCATAAAAATAGTAACAATTGATTTCTTACTTTTCATGAAAATTATAAAACTATTTACCTAAGCGTTCAAATCATACAGTTTAATTACTCGCACATATCATTGTATGTTAAGGAACGAAGATACCAGCTGTAAGCAAAAGCATTAAAATGTATTTAACATGTTTCGATTATTATTAAGTCTTTTTTTTTTCACATCTGGAAAGAAAACAACATGACATTGTGATATTTTTTTAACATATTTATGAAATTACACACACACACACACAAAGAAAATCAATACTTACGAGTGAACAGTAATCCCAGGAATATGTTTTGAAAATCTATTTGTGCATCCATGTGCAATATAAGCTGACATGCTTCAAAAAGAAAAGGGGAAAAAAATGTTACAATTACAGACTTCCTTGCACAAGTCACAGTGATAACAGTAACATGGCCGCCAAGCTTCACCGTTTGAGTTGAACCTTCCCTCCTTCTATTCTAACCTCCTTGAGTCAAAATAATGATCAAATTTCCAGTTATGATTAGCTATCGAAGACTTATCTTATTAATTTCGCACTTATTGTTCTCGAAATCGATAGTATGTTGACTAAAATCTACGGCTGACACAAGGTTTTGCTTTGCTATTGGTAAATTTTACTTTGGTGTTTTTCTCTTCTATTTTATTAAAATGTATTTCGTAAATAGTATTGTAGCGATCGCGTGGTTCATGAAGCCTCGGTAGTTGTTGCTCGTGTCGCCATCTATTAACACCAGTGAGAACTGCTACAGGACATGATGCGGAACCCGAACCTGGGCTAGTTTATTACGAGTGGAATTCTTTCCCGCTACCCCAAAAGAACTCCTTGGTTCAAGAATTCCAACTCTTCAAATTTGCGAGCTTTAGTTGTTCTCGAGATCGCTACAGTATTTACAGCAAGTGATTAGGTTTCATAATGGGTATACAGAATAGAATCATCGCAAGTTAGCAAGAAAAGGACAAAAAATAATTTTAATATCTTTTACAAGTAGAATATGCACCAATAAAGTCGAAATGTTCAGCATCGTTTTCCTCCCCCTTCCATGCTGTTCTGTCACACTTTAATTTCAGTAAAAAAAAATTTTTTTAAAAAAATTCTTTGACTGATAGAGTACATACTTGCGTCTTCCGTTTTTTGTCTCATTATGTGTACTGAATTCCTTACCAGAAAGTGCTTCCTTGGAAAGTGTGATCATAAACTTTAGGAACGGTGCACGCTTCATCTTTCAACAAATGGAAGTTGTTTGTAACCTTCAGTATTCTAAACTGGAAAATTGCGCTCACCGTTTTCTTTCACGCACGCATACGAAAAGTAAGTAGCTATGTTGGGCATCATTTCCTGTGTCATAATTTCTATCAAGCAGATCGGCTTGAGCGACTGGATGCTTGAAATTGGAGAATATAACACGTCAAAATGGGGCAGGCTACCGAGCAATTTTGATTTTCAATTACGTATATCAGCTTTTATTCCTTTTTCGTAAAATGTGTAGCTTGTTGAATAGAGAGGAGGTGAATTCAGTTTCAGATTTACATTTAAGTTTCCCACGAGATGGTATTACAAATGCTCTTCAGTTATAGAACAAAACACTTGAAACAAAAATTTAGATTGACTATTATTATAAATGGTGATGGTTGTTAGGAAATTTAACAATAAGAAAATCTGTAATTTTTTTTTTTTTTAACTTCTTGATAAACTTATTCGACTACTTACAGGACATAGTTTAAATTTACTTTTAACTGATTTCTTGTCCAATTACAAATGAAATGATGAAGAAAGTATTCTTGAATATGTAACGCGCTTATGGTAAACAACTTCCAACTTTTGATAATTTTCAAAATTTCTTACGTAAAAGTATCATAAATGAAAAGTAAAATGTCAGTGAAAAAGTGAAAAATGATCATAAAGAAAATGAAATTGAGTATTAGTATATCTCAGAAATCTCAGAGCTAACAACTTTGATAGAGTTCCAAAGTACAGGTTTTACAAAAGTCTACATTGCCATTCAAAGGATCTTTAAAAACATAATTTCGATGACTCAGAGACAGGTACACCTTGCACAAAAAAAAAAAAAAAAAAAAAAAAAAAAAAGAATGAGACAGTTCTATATCTCCCATTCTACTGGGCCGATTGTCGAAATTTAACATATCTGGTAAGCGCAACTAAGATATATATTTATATCAAACCTTGCTCTAACATAGGTATTTTTACGCAAAATCGGACTTAATTATAACATACCAAATGTTTTCCATGTTTCGATTTTACGACTCAAATTGTGCCTATGTAATAAATTTTGTAACTTTTGGTTAGAAATTGGCGTATTTTTCAGTTTGCGCCAAGAATAATTCACTTAGCGAACTTCTTCATTTATAGGAACTTATTTTCCTTTCCTTTTTTTCATTGTACACGAGCGGAGAAAAGGTTATTGTTCATACTTTAAAATATTTTAGCAAAGTGTGTAAACCACATTTGACGTTATTATCGCTTATGACAAGTATTCCAAAACGCGCCAATATGTAAATTCACGTATATTTAAGGAAATTTTTAATAAAAAAACTCTAATTTTATGGAGGTACACTTAGAAATATATCTACAATAAGGTGATGATCAAACTTTTATAGGTTATATAAATCAAAATTTTTTCCGAAGAATTTATAAAATTTATTTAAAACTATAAATTTTAAAAACAAATAAGAAAATAGCAGTGAATTTTATTTGGAATGAACCTAAATTTTGAAATGTGAATGAAAGAATCAAATAAGTTTAATAAAAAAAAGAGATATTAATAAATATATACCAAATTCATTTAACTTAAAGAAGCTAAAATTTGAGAGCTAATTTTTTAAAAATTACTCGTGCGATTTTTACAAAACTTGGCACTTTAGCATAATTTGAGTCTTAGAAATAATTCTGAATGTCCGCACTGACTTCCACATTATCATTTTCAAAATTGCGAGCTCTGAAACGTACAGAGGTCAAGTTTTTTTATCCTTGACTGGAGCGTTTCTGTGGTTCAGTTCGTGATAACTTTATTATGGTGAACAGTAATACTCCTAATCCGCCTAGACGGGAAAGTGGTTAATGACTCTGACTGCCTCCCCTCCCCGAAGGGCACGGGTTCGAATCCCGGAGAAGGCATGGATGTGATTTGTCCGTCCCTTTATAGGAGGCAACCGTGGCCATTCTATTCGGTGCCTCCATTATTTGAAGAGACCACTGATTCCAGTCTTTGTAGTGCCCAAAGCTTTAAACAGCTAGAGCTCGTCATTTCTTGGTAAAACAAATAAAATAAAAATACTCCTAAAAGATCGTTAGTGTCAGAACATCTTAATAGCGAAGGAGAATGTCGGGTGACTTAACCTGAATATTTACTGCACTTATGCGTTTAAATAAAATAGGGCGTCAAAGTGCTTCATTAAACCCTCGCCTAATATTGTACAAGAGAATTTCAGAGTGCCCTTTTGCGCGAATATACGCTGTTATTTAAGTACTCTTGGATAATCTTAGAAACATGAAAAAGAACAACACAAAGCTTGAATTTCTGTCAAGGGTGCCTATATGCGCTATTAAATGATTGCTTCTCACCTTTTTATCCGAAATTCTGTTATTACATTTGAAAATAATTAATTTCAGAAGTACGAAATTATGCTTCTAAGATATGTTAGACATGTCAAAATGAAAATCCAGAGAAATCCCTCCCCCCCTTTTTTTTCAGTTTCCAAATAAAGCGAACTGTACTAATTTTTTACTGTTTCTTAGCTTTTTTCCATCTATGATTACGTAGGAATATTAAATTTACTGAATAAATTTACCTGTTAATTAACCCTTTGAGTACTGAATTATTTCAAGATTTTTATGCCCATGGAACGGATTTAATTTGTCGCTATATGGATTAATATGCAAAAGTAATACATTTTATTTGGAATATACTTATATTAGTGATATAAATATATTTTTGAAACAGCATTATTTACAAAATATTATATATGAAACAAAATAGAAATATTTATAGAGAACAAGACTTACCTTATTTGCGACTGTAAGATGTCATAAACAAATGTCAGACTATTGTTTACGATCAACACCCACTGGTGGGGGTGCCGCAGACATCAACGCCTGCTTCTTAAATTCAGATGACGAGGCAGACTCGTCCAACGTAACTTCGCCCAAGTAAGCAGATGACGAGTCTCACTCGTCAAATGTACCCAAAGGGTTACGCATATCAGAAACGAAATTTGAAAGTTTCCAATAATTAAGAAGCTTACATCTCGAATTACTTCTCCTACATCATATTTTCTTCATTACATAGAATCATACAAGAAAAGTAAAAATAAAATGTGTTTAGACTCCCAAACAATTTTTAATGGCTTCTTTACAAGAAACATATCTATCGACCCTAAAATTTACTCAGTTATAGTTGCAATCGAATGGAGTGCGCTGATAAATGGTACTTTCTGTACAGATGGGGTCAACATGCCTGATATTTTGATGCATTATGTATGGATTACTATTTTGATTATGATGGAATTGCTATAAAGTAGGCATAGGTTAAAAATTTTAAATTTTAGTTCTTATATAGTTATTTATATTCGTAAATAAAAGATGTCCGTCTTTTATTTACAAATAAAGACAGCTGTCTTTCTGTGAATATGTTTTCGAATTAATTGATGTCTGCCTTTGCATTCTTATTTCGGTTAAATTTAAACATATTCACACGATACTTACCAGCATAGTAGTCCTCAAATCGAACTTGTGGAAGAATTGCGTGATGAAGATATGAACTTCGAGAACGTTTGTGACATCTTTTCTTTCAACGTCTCGCAGCACATCGATGAACCACTCGAAATGCCTGTGGGAGGGACAAATCCACAGGAAGTAAACCTATCAATGAAATACAAAGGAAAAGAATCATGGTACTATAATCGATGAAGACCTCAGAATTTCAACAATTTTAAATTTGAGGCTTCTTTTTGAATAGCTAAATAAATTTTCACATAAGAAATAAATTCATAAAAACAGATTGAAGCATCGTATACTAAAATATGTAAAAAGCATGTAAATGGTTCGTGCAATTGCAGTATTTAGTAGTTCCGGAACATAAAATTTCTGCATTGGTTCACGTGTATGAAATACTGCCGATAGATTTTCAGGAGATGCTGCAGTGAGAAAGTTTAATAATCTTTCATTCAAACGCCTAATGTAATTCTAAACAATTAAAAAAAATCCTTTCATGTAAATGCTTCGTATACTTCTAAACAATTTTATATATTCCATGCTCTGTGTATCTTTTTACGGCTTTCATTCGCCATAATTTTTCTATCAACACACCATAATGATTTAAAATTTAGCTTCTTTGTGAAACAGCAAATAAAACATTTTAGCTAGAAAAGTGAAATTACTCAAGTATATTGTTAATATTAACTTAAATTGTAAAATATACAAATTGTGTTGCATTCTGGTACGAATATTCCGATTTGAAATGCCATGGAAGGAGACCATGCAGCATATGCTAAAACATCTAATTACACGTTTACAGAGAAATGAAAAATAATTGTGCATTATTTCATTTTACGTAGTCATACACGTATAATAATTCCTATTTCGTGCGAATTTTATTGTCGTATTGTTCGAATATAAAACTTTTAAAATGACCTTACATTAAAGCTCGGGCATTTCGAAGCTGTTTTACAACGAAAAGAATGGTTTATTTAATAAAAAGGAAAGGAGAGAGATAATGGTTTTAATAGCACATTTTGACACAAAATGTGAAACAAATATGCTTCTCATTTCGTTTTACGAAGAAATAAAATAGTAAGGGATGAATTGCATTAACACATTTCTAACTGCATAGATCTAACAAAAAAAATTATTTTCAGATAAATATTTTACAGAAAAAAACATCATTTTAAATTCGGGCTAATATCACACATTTTGATTTGAAATGAAGAATTGCTCGTACCTTTTTGCAAGCTACTCCAGAATATCTGTTAGTAGAGGTACCAAAAACGAGGTCGTTAAGGATCGAGGCATAAGGCGTAACGCCTATTCCGCCCCCGACCATGATAGCAACTTCGAACTTGTACCAGTCTTGATTGCCTCCACCATAAGGACCTTCCAGGCGGACCTGAAAACATGAATTAAATTCTGTTACCCTATATAATGTTCAATAATTATTTCAGAACATAGATATCTTGAGGTACCACATGCAAACGACTGCGCGTCACCTATTGCTGCCAGATGTATAACCTACTTTTCTTTAACCCTTTCATTCCCAATGGCTTATATAAGGCCCAGTAAATGTTTAAATAAGCCTAGAGGGAATTACACGCATCAGTTTACTACGTAGTTGATGTCCCACTGGTAGTAGGCAACATTTCTAACATCCCCACTGCAAAATTGTAACGCGCATCTTCTCATAGAGGCTTAGTGAATTTGTTTATTATAAGGGGAGCATGTGCTACGTCTTTAGATTTGTTTAGTTTCTGGTTTTGTATAACATACGTGTAAAAAATGTCTAGGTAAGTTTGTTGACATTCGATTATAACTTATAGAATCTATTTTGTTAATGTAAAGATGGCGTATATTGAATATTTTTTAAAAAATTTGTTGACGGCTCATATATGTCGAAGTGAGCCCAGTTGTATTACTAGAGGAAATATGCTGTTTTGCTTTTGTTTCAGTAATAAATCGTTGTCCAATAAAGAACTGAGGGATATCGCAGAAAATATTTCTGATCTGGAACAAACAAATAAATGGAGACTGAAAGAGTTTTTAATATAGTATTTAGCGTTTAACATATGCTTTATATTCTTTAAAGTGAAATTTTAAGGCTGTCTTATTTTGACCAATATAAATTAAACCACATTGGCAAGGAATCCTGTAAATACCCTAGGAATTCATATCTGGAATGGGGCCCTTAAGTATGGAACTGGAAATTTTATTGAAAGGAGAAAATTCTGACAATAATTTTGGCATTTTTCTGCAGCCATGAGTATTAAAAAAAACATACTCGATTGGTGAATTAGATATTCTAGAAGCGTTTCACATTAAAAAAAAATTCCGTTCTATTTAGCGACCCAAATTCCATGCTTCAGTCTTTAATGAAATTATGTTTCAGTTTTCTTGTTTCATCAGCAGATGGCGCCAGTAGCTTACCTTCTGCCCAGCCATTCTTATCATATCACCGCATATCTTATCTCATTCATATGAACTTAGGCAGCTGAGGCGGTTGGTTCTGTAGTTAAACCATCAAAACTAGTCCTGCAAAATTTACAAATATTATGCTGATTCTTATTATTTGACTTCTCCAAAAATGCTTATTCGACATGTTATTTTAGCATTAATGATAGACTCTCATTTTGTTCTTTATTTCATGAAAGATGAAAAAATTGGCCAACACAATTTAGATACTACTGTACCTGTTTTCACCACGGGTTTTATTACTAGGTCATTACATAGGCACAGTTACACGACGGTCTTATTGCAGTAGCTGCCCTAAATGCTCCATGCATCGGTATCAACTCAGAGATCGTCTTGTACTGAATCTTTGCCTTCACGAAACCATCTGTGCCAATCTAAAACATGACTTCTTAAAAGTACCTCGTCTGCATATGCTTCGTTAATCATGCTCTACGTTTCACTAGGGGTTTTCCCGAGCTTAACGCAAAACTTGACAGTCACTTTTTGCTCACAATCAATATATATTGGTGCGTTTTGAAATTTGGCATATTTGTTGAAAGCGATAAAATATGAAATGTGGTTTAGATACTTTGCTAAAATTATTTGAAAGTAGGAACGAGGTGCCTTTTTTTCCGCTCCGGCATAATGGAAGGGGAAGGAAAATTGGTTGTCATATGTTAAGAATTTCGCCAAGTCAATTATTCATGGCGCAAACTAAAAAAATTACGCCAAGATAATTTTTTGAATTTCTCTGTAAATTTCACACCAAATTTTAGAAAATTTAATATCTAGACATAATTTGAGTCGTAGAATCGAAATATGGGAAAAATTGGCATTTTAATTCAGAAAATGTCCGATTTTGTGTCAAAATACCTATGTTAGAACAATGTTATATATAATAGATATCCTAAGTCGCGCTTTCGAGACATGAAAAACGCAATTTGAATTTTGTCAATCGGCCCAGTAGAACGAGAGATATAATAGAGCTGTCCCCCCCCTTTTTTTTTCGCAGTGTACAATCCATGTACTTAGTTCCTTTACGTATGATCTCCATGCGAAGAATACTGGTAGCTGCAAGATGCCGCCTTTTTAAATACGAGTTCAACGGCGGCTTAACGTCATTAGACGGCAAGCGCATGCATGACGCGATACACGCAGGGAACATTTTGAACGTTATCATCTGGAAGGATATGCAAATACTGCTGTTGCACCAGCTGTGACGCATTTTTCTTCTAAACTGTGGATCGTACAGGTACAGTACTTCTGCCATTCTTTATGTAACCCCAATGAGGAATCTGGCTGTGTAGAGTTTGGGCGTTATTTATGGGACACGCTATACATATGAGAAGATGCGCAAATTGGTAGTTCATATCCGATGATTGAAAGGATCGGAGTTTGTCGTTTTCCCCATATATAAAGTACCAATAAGAGTTTTAATATTTTATACCGAATGTTTTATGGAAAGTAATGAATAAGTTTTAATAAAAACAATAAAAGAAATAACGACTCTTAACAGATAATTGCGTAAATCCCTAGTACTGCAGCTATACATAATTGCAATTTTGTTTTGTATGATTAAACTTGTTGTAGTTTAAGTCAACATTATTAAATCATTTGAAAAAAGTCTGAAATTAACATTGATAAAAATATTTCTCATTTCTTTTCACGCTCCCTAATCATTTACACATTGCAATAACTAAAATGTGTTTGAAACTTAAAATCTGAAAAGATTGAAGTCTGAGAAAGATTAAAACTTTCTAAAAAGACTAAAAAGTCTGAGATATTGCCGTCATCTTAAGTTTTATAGATGTTTTATTTTTACTACCATGCTTTCGTACGACGATGTTTTACAACCGAGAACTTATGTTCTTCATTTTATTTTCTACCAGATGTTATATTGTGTTTTAGAAAAGATGATAGTTTTGTCCTTGCGTTCTTTACTGTCACGACAGTGTTCCCTACTTTTTTCGTGGCCTTTAGATTTGCGATATTTTTCCCCAATAGCTTACAGGCTGACCAAATCTCAAAAAATTGACATAAAGTAATTTTCAAAACGTAAGTCACAAGAGACTGAGAATGAAATATTTATTAAAATTATGCAGCTCACAGTAACTGATAGTCCCAAATGTAGTATCTTGAAGTAAATCTTTTAGAACTGCTTCAGTCAAGAATTAATGGTAATAACATGATTCGTATGCAGCGCAAGCAACACAAGCACTTACATACCCACAAAAATAAAAGCAAAAATTTTTATCCAATAATAGTATTTTATCCACCAAAGCAAAATAAGGTGAACTTATTTTTTTCTACGGAGAAATAAAGCCATGTCGCAATTTCTTAATCTAACAGTGTCATGTTCCTGTTTTTCCTAGCTTGCCTTCGTATAATTTCAATGTAGTCTGCAACCACACTTTCTTCTTATCGCCGCTTTTAATGATTAAACATATTTATTGAAAATTATTGAATATGGGGTGCGTCATGGGAGAGTTGCATCGTTTTGTAGAATAACGTTTAAGTAAAAATGATTTGCGAAACTCACTATACATTATAAAGGAAAAATCTTAACCGACCAGCGTTTGCATTGTATGCAATATTAAAAGTGGCACAAATAAGTGTTTGCAAAAATGCAAGCCGCATAGGAGCCCGAGGCCTTAGAGGGCCGTCAGAAGTTCTGCTTAAACTACATTTACATGTTACAATATTAAATTTAAAAATAAAATAGGAATAGACTGATTATTTTTGCTTCTATAAAAACATATTTATAATGTTTTTACAAAAACAAAAGCAGAGTTTTGTTTAGTCATAAATAGGGGCAACTAGGCGGTGCTTTAAAGTTAAAAGTGTGCTAAAATTTAAGGCACCCCTAACTGCGAAATTCGTTTCTGTGCTTTTCAGACGGGTAACATCAGCAACTGAGAGAAACCGAAGCTGCACAAATTATAGTTGAAAGCAAATTCGAATTCGAAACAATTTGTATGTTCTTATTCTGATTCCCTGCGTCCAATCTCAGCGTTTTCAACTCGTTTATGTTCAAGACTACTACTTATTCTGTACTACAGACCATATGACAATCAGGGTTATTGGAAAAGCAAGTTCCGAATTTCTGAAGGGGCGGTATACACTGGTGTGCAAAAATTAAGGACGAACTCGAAACATTAGCATATCAGCTGAACGAAGAGGCAGAGCGGACAGAAAGACCAATCAGGAGATTAAGTAAGGTGATGTACGGTAGCAAATGCGCAGATATGCAGGTAGACGTAATGGGGAGTGTCTGAGTAGTATAAAGCATGTTGTCGGTGTAAGATCAGTATTTGTGGCAAAGAGATTGCACGCCGTATAGCAGTTAAAATCACATCGAGTTGCTGCCTCAGCGAAAAAGAGCGAATAATCAATCTGTTAGACGACATCTGGATGCTTTTACCCGAGGTCGAATCATTGGGAAGTTGGAGGAAGGCTGCAGTGTGACAAGTGTGGCTGCAGAGTTCGGAATTGCTCACAGCATCGTTTCACGACTTTGGAGACAATTTCAAACTACAGGAACAGCTATCCGGGGGTTTAGTAGTGGTCGTCCACGAGGAACCACACCCGCAGATGACCGGTATATTGCCTTACAGGCCAAGAAACAGGCGGCAGACAGCGGGAGAAATCGCTAGAACACGACAAGGCACTGGACGACCGATATTGCGTTTGACCGTGGCCAAAGACTGCACGGTGTGGTCTATTGCACGAGCCCCTGTACGGTGTACCTCTAACGCCTGCCCATCGGAGAAGGCGTCTCTGTGGTGCCGGAACACGGAATGGAGAGACAATGAATGGGAACGAGTACTCTTTACAGATGAGAGCAGATTCAGTCTGGTAGCGATTCTCATCGCATACATCTGGAGGAGCGGGACGCAATCATCCCTCGAACATTGAAAGGGACAGGTATGGAGGTGGCGGTTGTTC